CATCTCTTTTTAATCTGATGTTCTGATTGGACTTCTGATAGAACCCTGAGCTCCTGACAGCTGACCGGATCTTCTGCTGAGAAGGAATTTGTCCTGAATGAGACTCAGAGCTTCAGACAAAACAATCTGAGATTAGAGGATTAAAACGGAGCTGCAACAAACAAGTGTGTGTGTGTGTGTGTGTGTGTGTGTGTGTGTGTGTGTGTGTGTGTCTCACCAGGTTGACCTGGATCGTTTTCTCCCAGTTCTTCTCATTGTTGATGCCGGCGTTGTTGATGACAATGTCCAGACGTCCAAACTTGTCCATGGTGGTCTGGAAGGCGTCTGCTCCAACAGATAAAGGAAATGAGACTCGACCATCACAACATCTCCCAGAAATCCTCCCTCAGAAAAGAACAAGACCCAAAAGGTTCTGAAACGTTCTGATGTTCATCAGAACGTCCACCAGCTTTGCGTTTTAGGAAAGCAAAGCATCAAATCCCTGAGAACAAGTTGATCTAACCACTGGGGTTCTGGTCTGAACTGGGTTCAGTTTGGCGTCTGGTTCAGTTGGTTCAGTTCACATGAGTCTCTTATCTGGATCCGTTTGGTACCAGCTGCTTGGTACCAGATACACTTGAAGCCCTGGAGGTGTCCAAACCTGGTTCTCAGGACCTCCATGTTCTAAGGTTTGTGCACCGGCACACATATTTCTCACCTCAAGGTTGTTAACAGCTTGGTGCTGCTGCTGAACAGGTGTTTTGGAGCAGGGAGATACCTGAAACATGCAGGATGGGGACTGTCCTGTACCAGGAATGAACTCTGCAGGTTTGGAGCTGACGTTGATCTCCAGACGGGAAGTTGTGCACATGAAGAAGTATCGATTTCAACCTGAAACCAGACCAGCATCTACAGAACACGGCCGTCTATCTGGTTCTGACACATCTAAGAAAGAGAAACTGGTTTTGGGTCTTCATAGAAACCTCAGAGTCCACCAGTCCAACCAAGATGACATCACGAAAGAAGGTCACATGGTCCTCATCACAACTAACAGAACCAGAACATAAACAACGGGATCCACCTGACCCAACAGCATCAGTAACCCTCATTAGAACCTGGTGGGTCTCCAACATGGTTCTGGACAGGTTCTGGTCCAATCATTGTTTCTGCAGGTCACTGAAGTTTGTAGGTGTTTGGTTCTGAAAAAACGGATCCCGGTGACCTTTCTGCCGTCCAGAACATGTTGCTACACATACGGACAGATAAAACAAGCTGGTACCTCGGAACAGGGATTCGGGTCTGGAGACTCTTCTGGTCCAAACTGGTGCGTGGCTGGCGAACACCCCACACCCCGGCCCAGCTGTTTAAACAAACCTGAGCTGGTAGAACCAGCAGGTGACGTCACCTGCAGCATTCCAACGTTTAGTCACGACCCATCAGAACAACCTGAACCCAGAGCCGGGCAGAGACAGGATGGATCTGATGTTCCTGTTTGGCATGTCCACACCAACAGCAGCTTCAACTCCAAGGATCTCCAAACAGCATTCCAGAACCACTCGCCTGCAGGGATTCCCGTTTCCAGAGTCAGACAATGATTCCTTGTTCCTCCTCACTCAGAGACTCTTCACCCCCCCGTGACACACCCCTCACATCTGCACACACACGTGTGTGTTCATCGGATAAATGGGTAAGACGGGCTGTGTCAACTGCGGGTCCTGCTGGACCCGATTGGATCAGAACCACATCACATATATGGAGCACTGATTATTGCGTAAGTTTTACTTCATTAGAACTTTGAGCCACTTTCATGTCAACAAACACAAATATTTACCGTCTTTATCTAATTAAAGCTAAATAATTGTTTCAAAACGAAATATTTAGATTTTAATCTAAATATATGAACGTTAATTTTTATATAAATATGAAGGTGTCGGACCTATAAATAATTAGCTAACATGAAAACTCAGTCTACTGTGAAAAGGAAGTACTCTACCAAAATAAGAGCAGGGTGAAGCGATTCCCTATCGGGTCTTTGTTGTTTTAATGATGTGAAGAGGGATGTATGGGTTGTGGGTTTTCGGGAGTAGTGACAGATTAACGCGTCACACAACTAATCATTAAAGGGACTTGGTGACTTTAGTCTACCCCGCTTTTATTTTGGTAAGTAGAAAACCCAAATGCGTTTTTTACATTGGAGAGTCGTTGACACAAGTCAGTGACTCGGTGGGAAACGTTTTTCGGCTTAATGAACTGATCTGCATTAGACTTTGTGAGGTCCTTGAGACGACTCTTGATTTGGCGATATTTCAATTAACTGAATTTAATCCGATGTCTGGATTATTTAAAGGAAATTATAACAAATGGAAGCTCTTCTTCAATCTGCGCCCCTGTTGGACCAGAGACGACCAGAACCAGAACAGCTTCTAAGAACATCTGACGTCACTTCCTCGTTTCCATCGAAAGGAACGGAGCAGCTGTTGTGTTACAGATGAAGACCAGCTTCTAAGAACCTCTGACGTCACCTCTCAGAGCGTCTCCGTTGGACACGTCACACTGGATGAAGGTGCACTGTCCTTCTCCAAACTCTGCGTCCAGCTGGGCCTTGCACTGCTCCCCGCAGGTCTTGTTCAGGTCCAGAACGGCCACCTGCAGAACCAGCAGAACTTTAGACGCTCAGAGACGCGGTGCAGAACTTTGCATGATCTTTATCTGTTTCGTCATCAGCATCCGCAGGAAACCGCATCTGGTTTTAGAGACAAGTTGGTTCTTCTTTCTCACATCCGTGGTTTCATGAAGATTCGTTTGAGTAAAAAAGAAAAACACACACAGATAAGATGTGGAACAGGTTCTGTTCCCTTTCGGAAACTTCCGAGTTAATCAGTAAACGTCCCGTTTTAACCTTTGGATGTAAACAGCAGCAGAACCTGAACAGAACAACAACAGGGATGCAGGCCGGCTGAGACTGAAGCAGAGCTGCAGATGTTCAGCCGGAACCGAACCCAGAGCAGAGCAACGGAGCGGAAAGCAGTTACGGTTCTGAGCAGAACTAGCAGTGTGGATCGGGACCGACCTTAGCTGAGCTTTGCAGCAGAGACTGGACCGCTGCCCTCCCGATGCCCTGCGCTCCTCCGGTCACCAGAGCCACCTTCCCGGCCAGAGCCATGGTTCGGTGTGCGCCTTGGAGGCGCGGTGAAAGGCTGTCCTCCCCCTTCCTCTGAACTTAAACCCTCTCTCTCTCTGTCAGTGTGTGTGTGTGTGTGTGTGTGTGTGTGTGTGTGTGTGTGTGTGTGTGTGTGTGTGTGTGTGTGTGTGTCCCGTCGGTGGGGAGGAGATTAGATAAACTGAGCAGAAAAATAATTACAGGGCTTATTGAGCTACTACCTGCGTCTGAAACACACCTGAGTTGCTTTGACGTCACACTCCTCCTTCAACACGTGTGTGTGTGTGTGTGTGTGTGTGTGTGTGTGTGTGTGTGTGTGTGTGTGTGTGTTCAGAGTTAAACCCTGTTACACAACAGTCAGCCCGGCGCGGGGGGGACCTTGGGTTCAGGTCTCTGCATGCTCCTTCTGCAAACCTGTGAAATACCTGCTGACAGATTCCTGAAAAATAACCCAGAGAGGAAGTGTGTGTTGCAGAATGTATTCCCAGCTCCAGGAACACACACACCCCTCCTCTTATCGGACTTCCTCTTTTATTGAATAGGAGTCTGGAGATGACTGATGGCCTGAGCCAGCAGGTCCTGCGGTCTGCTCTGAGTCTGGATCCATTCAGGACGACGCTGAACCGCTTCAGGTCCTTCTGACGGGCTCAGAGTAAATCAGAGCGTCAGAAGGCAACGTTCATTCTGCTGCTGCAAAATAAATTAAATAAAACTAGTTTTTATTACATTTAATCCTAATCTGGATTCCTGTTTGTTAAAGGGAGAATAAAAGAATGAAGTAAAACAGATAAATCGTTTCGTTGGTGTTTAATTATTTTACACTTCAAAATTGTAAATTCTCACCGAAGTCACTAAAACTCGTAGAAAAACAAATATTTTTTACGTAATTAAAGTCCCACCAGAACCAGAACCAGATGTTCCACATCCTAACAGCCAGAGGGAACAGGACCCAACATCACAAACCCAAAAAAACACAAAAAGTCCAAAACCGCATTTTCTGTTAGAACATCTGGTTCCTCCAGATGAACAAACGAGCAACGGACCTTCATCTTCATCACAAACATCTGGAACACAAAGCATTTATGTGTAGAAAAATAACGTTCATGTTTACAGTGAAACAGAAATCGCTGACGGATCCCTCACACGTTACATTTATCACACATGGTGAGATGATCCTTCATCAGCTGTTTGGCCTGATCAGATCGAGCTGGTTGGGAAACCCGATCCGTTTATTGTGACATTTATCAGCTCAGATGCAGGAATGTTGTTGTGATGATTCAGAAATGTGCTTCTGAGGAACCAGAGGGGAACAATCTTTTGCTGAGATGATCACACTCAGGTGGAGCTCACCTCCAGCAGCAGCAGCAGGACCACTGCAACAGCTTTTGTTTGTTTGTTTGTTTGTTTGTTTGTGAAGCGCCTCATGATTTTTATCTAGAGAGGCCGCTATTTAAAAGATTGTTTTCTTTCTTTCTTCTTTCTAACAGGACCTCCTGCAGCAGCAGGACCTCCAGCAGAATCAGGACCTACAGCAGCAGAACCTCCAACAGCAGGGGGATCTACAGCAGCAGCAGTACCTCCAGCAGCTGCAGGATTACTGCAACAGGACATCCAGTACAAAGAGGACAACCAGCAGCAGCAGCAGGAGGACCTCCAGCAGTAGCAGGACATCCAGCAGCTGGAGGACCTCCAGCAGCAGCAAGACCACTGCTACAGGACCTCCAGCAGCAGCAGGTGGGCCTCCAGCAGCCAGAGGACATCCAGCAGCAGCAAGACCACTGCTACAGGACTTCCAGCAGAAGTAACAAAACCCTCAACAGCAGCAGGACCTCCAGCTTGGACCTCTGATGGAGCTCAGCTCAATTCTGGAATCATTTAGAGAGGTCGAACTGGAATCCTGGGGCAGACATGCAGGGGCCAGTTTTACTGTTTGAAAAAGGACCACAACAGGTGATGTCACAGCACTATCACATGACCAGAAACAGATACCAACAGGAAGTAGTGCAAGTCTAGAAGCAGAACCAGAACTAAATAACAGTGTCAGGTCCAAAAACACAAACCTATCAAAGACCTGAAGCAGGGTCTGAAACAGTCCAGCTGGCCTGAAGCTTATGGAAAAGGAGCCTAAATAGGACCCAATCAGGACCAGATCTGTACCAGATCCAGACCGGATCAGGACTTTATGACCAACAGAGATGTTTTGGTTCTTTAACAAACTGGATCTTCAGCCCTTCTGAATCTTGGAGTCACACATCAGCAGCAATCCCTGAGCTTCTTCTCATCGTCTCAGACAGAAGATCTTAACACCAACATGAGAAATTGAAAAAATTCCTTAAAATTCACAAATTCTTCTACAAATTTCACAGTTTAAAAACAATTTAACTTTTTTAAAACTGAGATCCAAAACACCTCTGAATCTAAATGACCTGGTTCCATCAGCAGAGTTCTGAGTCTTTAGATTCTGGTGTGCTCCATCCCGGGGAAGAACCTGGAACTGATGGAACATTCTAGTTCCAGGTGGTCGCTACACTTTGTGGAAGTCTTCGTGTCTCAGGATCTTGTAAAGCACCCAGTAGAAGATGTTAAAGAAAAGGAAGGCCAGAGGGAAGCCGGCCCTCGACACCGTGTCGATTTTCTTGGCTCGGTCAATGAACAGCTTCCTCATCTCCTCTGTGCTCCTACCACCTCCTCTGGCGGCTCCAGGTGCATTCTGGGTAGTGTTGGCCGGGCCTGCTGGGGTGCCGAGCACAGCCACGGCGTTGTTGGTGCTGACCTTTGAGTCTTTAGTGCTGCTGGGGGTGGAGGTCACCGCTGCCGCGGAGGTCAGACGGCTCTCATGGACCTCCCCTTCCTGTTGGAGAAACCAGGAGGGAAAATGTAACACCTCGTGTAAGCGGAGACCAACTAAAAGAATAAACAAACTTTTAAACAAAAACTGTTTAAATCACATCTTAAAATGACCTGTATTTGATGTAGTGCCTTCTAGAGTCCTGGAACCCCCCAAGGCGCTTTACAACACAATCAGTCATTCACCCATTCACACACACATTCACACACTGGTGGGGATGAGCTACAATGTAGCCACAGCTGCCCTGGGGCGCACCGACAGAGGCGAGTCTGCCGTACACGGGCGCCACCGGTCCCTCCGACCACCACCAGCAAGAAAGGTGGGTTAAGTGTCTTGCCCATTGGCACAACGACAGCAACCGGCTGTGTGGGGCTCGAACCTGCAACCTTCTGATTACAGGGCAAGCGCTGTAAGTGCCACCGTCACCCCAAACTTTTAATTAAGTCTGTTTTACTGAAGTTGGAAAATAAAAATAAATAACTAGCTCAAGTAACCTTTGTAATAATAATAATAATAATATAATAATAATAATATAATAATAATAATAATAATATAATAAGTATTATTATTATTAATTAATAATAATATAATAATAATAATATAATAATTATTATTATTAATTAATAATAATATAATATAATAATAATAATAATAATAATTATTATTATTATCTCCAAGAGATGAAGGCAAAAGTTGAGTATAAAGAAAATTTCGGTGTTTTTTTAAAAACTTGCTGAAGTTCATTTAACTCAGTTTAAATCAGTTAAATGAACTCTTTAATCCACGGATATCATAGAAACATGAAGTGAACTTCAGTGAAAATAAAAACAATATAAACTATTAATATGTTATTCTTTTAATCATTATTATGATTTTACATGATTAGAGTTTTGAGTTTGTCCTTTTGTTCTGTTTTAAACAGATTCCTACAGGAACAGAGAACATCTGGACCACAGAACATCTGGAACAGGTAAAGCCTGGTTTGAAATCCGCTGACAGCACCATCTCTCTTTTATTCTTTTTGTTTTCAGCCTTTTGGAACATGCTTTAAGGATGTTTGATGACACTTTTAGGAAGAAGACATTTGTGGCTCTGAGCTCAGAGCACGACTCGGGACCCCCAGAGGTCTGTGAGCAGGATGAGCAACCTGGTACTGGTCTTGGTTCTGTTATTTCATAGCATTTAGTCTGTTTGGTACTTTTGGTTGGTTCCTCTGGAGAAAGTGAGATTTTATTGGTTTAATCCTGTCAGTGAACTCTGACCCTGCAGGAACGTCAGTGTGTTCCACCTACAGGCAGCAGAACCGAGCTTTAAACAGACCTCTGCCCTGAATGCATGAAATCAGGAAATCTTGTACAAATCTTCATTTTCCTGGTGTTGCTGATAAAAACAGATCTGTTAGGATCAGCTGTAGCTGCAGTAGTCGGAAGGTTGCAGGTTCGATCCCGGCTCCGACCAGAGAATGCTGCTGTTGTGTCCTTGAGCAAGACGCCTAACCCACCTTTCTTGCTGGTGGTGGTCGGAGGGACGACGGCGCCTGTGTTCAACAGGTCGGTGTGCCCCAGGGCAGCTGTGGCTACATCGTAGCTCATCCCCACCAGCGTGTGAACGCGTGAAGGCCTGATTGTGTTGTGAAGTGACTCGGGGGGGGGGGGGGGGGGGGGGGGGGGTTGTAGACCCCTCAGAAGGCGCTACACAAAAACAGGCTATTTACCATATTTTTAACCATTTGGTTCCATTTAGATTGTGTTGACTAAAGGTTTCATTCTGCTAAACTTGTGTTTAAGATGATGACGATGATTAACATTACTATATTTACAGCTTTAGTACAACATCCTGCAGCACCTCAACAGCAGACGTGATGAAAGAAAACACACAATGATCCCCGTGAACAAAGTGAGACACAGACATGCACAGACGACAGGTGCACATGCGCGTTGCCTTTACCCTGTGCTGGCTGGCGCTGAGGTTGCTCACTGATCCGTGCAGATGTTCTGATGGTGGTCTGAGGCCATTAACGCGACGCAGAGACTCAGCTAGCTCCTCTGGATCAACGCCACTGTTCTACCGGTCGGCAGCATGCACACCAGAAAGAAACCACCAGGGAAAACAGAACAAAAGACCAGGACCGGATACAATAAGTTCAGACCAGACCCAGAATAGACTGAGATGGGATCAGACCTCTCAGCCAACCAGTGAACACTGTTCCCATCCAACAAGTGAATGTGTAAACATGGAGTCCCTCAGGGTTCTGTTTTAGGCCTGTCTCTTCTTCCTCTGGGACACTTGAAACAATTCAGTCAGGTGATCAGTTCATGCTGGAGGCCCATTCTGGTCCCTGTGGGTTCTTGTATTGTTTAAAAACATACAAATATTATTATGTCAATATTTTTATCATTATTCCTATACCAACATAACAAATTAAATACACAAGACTGGCTTATGGGGCTACAGTTGGAGTGATATCACACTTTTGGGTTTTTTTTAACCTTGAAGATCAGAATCCATCCTGAACTTTCTTATGTTTTTGTATTTTGCAGACGCTTTTGTCCAAAGCTACTTACAGGTGATAGATAAGCCAGCAGGTTGCCCTTGAGTCAGTCCTAGGTGGCTGTGAGGCAGCATAATCAATCATAGAGGGAAGTGAACATGGAGAGTGCGGTAGAGTGGGGGACGGGTGCAGGGAGGGTGCTGGTTTAGAAGATGCTCTCTGAAGAGCAGGGTCTTCAGGAGTCTCTTGAAAATCGATAAGGACGCTCCTGTTCTGGTAGTGCTTGGTAGGTTATTCCACATTTGTGGAACGACGCATGAAAAGAGTCTGGATTGTCCTGAGCGTCCTGCTAGCCGTCGATCCTTCGATGAGCGGAGCGGCCGGGCCGTGACATAAGCCTTTGCAAGAGGATTCAGGTAGATGGAAGCGTACCATCAGGACTTTGTATGCTAGAGCTAGCGAACTGAATTTGATGCGTGCTGCTAGCGGTAGCCAATGGAGCCCAATGAACAGAGGGGTGACACGTGTTCTTTCTCGATCTCCCTGAGCCAGGACGTGACCACAGAGCTAAAAGAGTGATATTCGCAGTAACGTCCAGACTCTTCCACAGCAGAAATAATGACAGTGTGTGGAAAAGGGGATTCCTTATTATTTGGAGCTGGAAGCAGGATGGACTTGATCCGGGGGCAGACTGGGACAATAATTCAAGCTGGGAATTTTTTTCCAGTCCAGAGAAGAGTAGTTACTTGCTGCCGTCACTCCAACCCAGCAAGGGGGGGTTGGGTTAGCAGCTCTGTCACCAGGTCTTGGGGTGGGAGGTGTAAGCAGGTCAAATGACCAAAGTATTATCTCTGCTAGGGGTCGGGGTGTGGTGGTGGCAGTGGTTGGGTGTCATCAGCAATAACAAGTAGCCCACTTCACCTGTCAGGCCACCAGGAATTGTCCCAGTGCTCCTGATGGCCAGTCCGGCACTAACCTGATCACTCCTGAAACCCTTCTGAACTTCTGCCGACCGATTTTTGATCCTTTAGATTTGCTAATGTTTAATTAACCACAGACTAAATCAGATTGGAGCTGACAACTGATCCCTCCTCTCCATTGTGCCCTTGGGCAAGACACTGAAACCTTAACAGTTGGATGGATTTTCCAAAATGCTTCAGGTTTCAGAAATGTTGTTTATTTAGTCACAGTTTGAATAGAAACAGAGTTTGGCTGAACTCAGTCGATCCGTTTGACCCGCAAAGGTTCAGAACAACGTGCTCATCCTGGGTTTGGACGTCAACAATGCATCAGCTGGGGATTAAACAGCAAACACATCCATGCTGAGTCATGCACCACCACAGCAACATGATGAGTCAAAGAACAGCAAGACAGGAGTTCTGTTTAAGTCTCCACAGGGGGTAGTCCAATCCCCCACCTGGCTAACTCAGCAGAAACTCTGGGCCTGGGTCTAGGTCTAGACTCTGAACTCTGGGTCTAGGTCTAGACTCTGGGCCTGGGTCTAGGTCTAGGTCTAGACTCTGAACTCTGGGCCTGGTTCTATATTTAGACTCTGGGTCAGAACTCTGGGCCTGGGTCTAGGTTTAGACTCTGGGTCTAGACTCTGGGCCTGGGTCTAGGTCTAGACTCTGACCTCTGGGCCTGGATCTAAGTCTAGACTCTGGGTCTAGACTCTGGGCCTGGTTCTAGGTTTAGACTCTGGGTCTAAACTCTGGGCCTGGGTCTAGGTCTAGGTCTAGACTCTGAACTCTGGGCCTGGGTCTAGGTCTAGACTCTGGGCCTGGGTCTAGGTCTAGGTCTAGACTCTGAACTCTGGGCCTGGTTCTAGGTCTAGACTCTGAACTCTGGGCCTGGTTCTATGTTTAGACTCTGGGTCTAAACTCTGGGCCTGGGTCTAGGTCTAGACTCTGAACTCTGAGCCTGGTTCTAGGTCTAGACTCTGGGTCTAAACTCTGGGCCTGGGTCTAGGTCTAGACTCTGAACTCTGGGCCGGGATCTAAGTCTAGACTCTGGGCCTGGGTCTAGGTCTAGACTCTGACCTCTGGGCCTGGATCTAGGTCTAGACTCTGAACTCTGGGCCTGGGTCTAGGTCTAGGTCTAGACTCTGAACTCTGGGCCTGGGTCTAGGTCTAGACTCTGGGCCTGGGTCTAGGTCTAGGTCTAGACTCTGAACTCTGGGCCTGGTTCTAGGTCTAGACTCTGAACTCTGGGCCTGGTTCTATGTTTAGACTCTGGGTCTAAACTCTGGGCCTGGGTCTAGGTCTAGACTCTGAACTCTGAGCCTGGTTCTAGGTCTAGACTCTGGGTCTAAACTCTGGGCCTGGGTCTAGGTCTAGACTCTGAACTCTGGGCCGGGATCTAAGTCTAGACTCTGGGCCTGGGTCTAGGTCTAGACTCTGAACTCTGGGCCTGGATCTAGGTCTAGACTCTGAACTCTGGGCCTGGGTCTAGGTCTAGGTCTAGACTCTGAACTCTGGGCCTGGGTCTAGGTCTAGACTCTGGGCCTGGGTCTAGGTCTAGGTCTAGACTCTGAACTCTGGGCCTGGGTCTAGGTCTAGACTCTGAACTCTGGGCCTGGGTCTAGGTCTAGACTCTGGGTCTAAACTCTGGGCCTGGTTCTAGGTCTAGACTCTGAACTCTGGGCCTGGATCTAGGTCTAGACTCTGAACTCTGGGCCTGGGTCTAGGTCTAGGTCTCGACTCTGAACTCTGGGTCTGGTTCTATGTTTAGACTCTGGGTCTAAACTCTGGGCCTGGGTCTAGGTCTAGACTCTGAACTCTGGGCCTGGGTCTAGGTCTAGACTCTGAACTCTGAGCCTGGTTCTAGGTCTAGACTCTGGGTCTAAACTCTGGGCCTGGTTCTAGGTCTAGACTCTGGGTCTACCTGGACTTTTGTGGGTTTTCGGTACCTTGTTCTTGCTCTTGTTCTGTCGTCTGAACCTCAGCAGCTCTTTGTGTTGTCGGGACACAAAGTTGACCGCAGCGTACTCCAGCAGCGCCGAGAAGACAAACAGGAGACACACAGCCATCCAGATGTCTATGGCCTTCACATAGGACACCTGAGGACACAAAGACACCTTCGTAAGGTTGGAGAGGCTTTACTGCTCCTCGAGTCCTGGAGAAATGTTTTAATGACCAAAAACGTGGTTTAAGTTTTAACTCGAGAGCTCTCAATGAGAAGCTGAAGATGAAGATGTCACAAGTGGTTCCAACCTAGGGAAGTCCAAGTCCTGAACTTGGAATTCTGAGTCCTGTAGAAGATTTTTGGCCTAACTTGTAATTAATTTTAAACTGGAATCTGGAGTTTATTTTATCCAATGGCACCCTCTAGAGGCTGACAGCTGCTGGTGGTCCCACGTCTGACCCCAGGACTTGCTGGTGGCTGCAGAACCAGCCCAAACCACCATTCCTCCATCACTGTGCGGACTACTGGGATCAGCTGCTGCATGATGACTAAACATCTTATACAAAGTTCACACTGGTCCAGAAGTCTTGTGGTTTATTCAGAGGAAATTTTATCAACCCGAGCTGAGCTGCCATGACCTTTAACTTGCTAATGGAGGCTGGTATGAGTACGGAACTTTTGGGATTATTTTATTCCTCTGAGATGTGACCTACCAACCTGCTAGGACGTTTTCTCCTGGGAGAAACGACTACTGACTGAAACATAAAAAGTCCCTTTTCCAAATGACATTTGACCCTTTCTACAGCACCTCTCCCGTGGTGATAGCTGGTGTTAACACACACCTGTATGCTCCAGAGCAGAAGACTTAATTAAGGCCTGCATTTATAGAAAAGCTGCTGCAGACTATTTTTTCATCTATAATCTGACCTGTTAAAGGTGCATTTTGTAGAAATAAAGTAAAAATGACATCATGTGGTAAAATTTTGTCACTGCAACCACTTTAAACAACTCTGGAGCTTTTTGCCAGCCGTCATTAAATTACAATTGTGGGCGCTGCAGTATTAGAGCACAGGAGACACGGCAACCCCACACTCACTGATGGTAAACAGTAGTTACGTCCCTCCTTCCTTCGATTTGAAATGAGAAACACCAACATTCCCCACAGCCAGCTGGATATGAAACATGTCTCGGTAGAACCTTCCTTCCAAAGTGACTGGAATATTAGATTCGTTTGGGATTTTCTCACTATATAATTCTCACTATATTACTACATACTGCACCTTTAATCTAGAATTTGCTCAGTTAAAGTTGCTTTTAGCAAACCTGCAAGCAAGCTACCTAATGGTGTTCTGTTGTTAAGTACGCGAAGGACAGTGCAGCGGTTTGGCGGTTTCAGTCCGAAACATGTTATCGGCGGAGGCGTTTAGACAAATGCGAGAAAACCACTTCTTCTTTTTTTAATCTCCACAATAGAGTTATAGCTATAGGCACGACAAATGTTTAAGCTAATTGTTTTCCAATAATCTGACCAGGTAATCTCGAATATGTTCAGTTAAACTATATAATCTGACCAGTTAATCTGTAATCTGATTATTTAATCTATAATCTGACCAGTTAATTTAGATTCTGACCAGTTAATCAATTTTTGGATCAATTAATCTATAATCTGATTATTTAATCTATAATCTGACCAGTTAATCTAGAATATGTTCAGTTAAACTATATAATCTGACCAGTTAATCTGTAATCTGATCAATTAATTGATAATCTGACCAGTTAATTTAGAATCTGACCAGCTAATCAATAATATGATCAATTAATCTATAATCTGGCCCATTAATCTATGTTCTGTTCAAATAATCTATCATCTGACCAGTTAATTTAGAATCTGACCAGCTAATCAATAATATGATCAATTAATCTATAATCTGGCCCATTAATCTATGATCTGATCAAATAATCTATCATCTGACCAGTTAATTTAGACTCTGACCAGTTTATCTATAATCTGATTATTTAATCTATAATCTGACCAGTTAATCTAGAATATGTTCAGTTAAACTATATAATCTGACCAGTTAATCTGTAATCTGATCAATTAATTGATAATCTGACCAGTTAATTTAGAATCTGACCAGCTAATCAATAATATGATCAATTAATCTATAATCTGGCCCATTAATCTATGTTCTGATCAAATAATCTATCATCTGACCAGTTAATTTAGAATCTGACCAGTTAATCTATAATCTGATCAGATGGATTATCCGATTTGACGGCTCTGTGTGACGAACTGATCCCAGTCTCTCTGAACCAGAACTTTTCCATCCCTCCATGTCAGAGAGGCGTGACCTCGTTCCTGCCTGCAGAACTGTCTCTTCCACATGCGTGTAACGTGAAGTGGAAAGCCGTGTACAGGACCGGAAACATGAGAAACTTCCTGAACACATGCAAACGCATTAAGGCCACGTTAGACTGATTTATGTAACACCGAGCTCTGTCTGATTCCTCCTCATGCATACCAGATACCAGAACCGGACTGAAGGGCGCCCTCTCTCTCTCCCCCTCTAACTTGCCTTCTCACGCTCCAGCAGACGTGTGATGCGTGTAATCAACACATGCTTAACCACGCAAAACATCCATTAGTATAATGAAGGAAAACGAAGGCCTTTCAGGTCTTATCCTAGAGGGAATAAATCAGATCCGCCTCCGTTCCCTCCCTCCAGTTCCCTCGAACCTAGCTCCCTCTTCTCAGTTCCCTCCCTCCAACATAAACTCTTTTTTCCCACCTGATTTAATTATGATGCGCTCCATCAGGAGAGCAGAGTGACTTTGCTCCAGAAACTCAGAAGTTTAGAATAAAGCAGCATTAACGACTCCACATCGCCCCCTTCAGACCACTCAGATGTATCAGAAGTAGGTGTTGGTGACAGAAAACCAGATGACATGATTTAAAGTTGGTTTAGACATATCTGAATGAGGTGAACCCATGAAACATGTTGGAACGTGTCTGTTGCTTCCCACGGAGGGCAAAGGTCACATCCTATAGAGGTCAGCGGTTTCTTTTGTTCCACTGGTTTTATTTCTGTGGGTAAAATGTTCCTAATCCAAGTTTCTGTTTCCAGGTATTTCTCTGTTTTTCCAGCTTCCTGGTGGATGTCTAACAGCTACTTTAGTTATAAGATGGCTAAAAACACCTGCTTGCTGTTCAGGTGAGTAGGCGGGGCTTACAAACCTTTGGCAGCGACGTTCTGGATCCAGAGCTTTGTGTGGTCATTGTCAGTACAGTGGTGATGCCGAGCGCCACCCGCGCCGGGGCAGCATCCATGTTGATCCAGAAAGAGACCCAGGACAGAATGACGATGAGCAGAGAGGGAATGTACATCTGGATCAGGTAGTACCCCATCTGGCGCTCCAGGTGGAAGCGCACCTCGATGCAGGTAAACTTACCTATAAGAAAAAAAAACATGAACTGGACTGGAACTGGGCAGAACCAACAGAAACCTTTTAGTCTTATTTAAGAGTTTGATGTTACTATGGCAACACTGCTGGAGGCAAAGAGGAGGTCAGATGATGAAACAGAACTTTCAAGTAAAACTCTTTATTAAGAGGAGGCTCTGCTGAAGACCAGGGGTCCCATTTATCAAACATGGCGTAGAATCCTTACTAAAACCGTACTTAAGCTCAGCAAAACAAATGTTCTTACGCCAAGCAGGTGTGTGATCTATCAGACACGGAGGACGCACGGCTGCACGCGATCTTCATAAATCAGAGACTAAAGGTTCTCAGCTGTTTCTGAGTCACATCCCGCCCTCGCCACGCCCACTTACTGCCATAAATGGTCAATGCAAAGTGCCTTGTGGATCTCATGCATGTACATAAGCCGGCTGTTGCAGCGCTCCACCATTAAAATCACGACTGCAGATCAAGGAAGCGCTATTTCACCGAAGCAGAAGTTGAGGTACGTGTGGGTGAGGTGGAGAAATGAAAGGAAGTGCTTTTGCAAAACAAATAAGAGAAAATCCACGGAGTGGCACAGCGTTGCTGAAGCCGTCAATGCTGACTTCTTCAGAGAGATCTGTGGCGGATATAAAAACAATGGCCCAATCTGGATTTAATCCCCAGACTCCCGGGTGAAAGTCACGCGCGCTAACCAGTCACCCAAACGGAGATCTCCTGTGTACGAGTAGCCAGGGCACATGATCAATCGGGTCACAGTGACAGGACACACACCGTCACAGACGCATGATGTTCTGTCTCAATCTGTCCCCTGCTGATATTCAGCATTCTGCGATTCAGGCTGTGTGTGTGTGTGTACAAGTGGTAGTGCTGCAGGATTTCATTGTCGTATCCTTCTCAGCAGCAGCACTGCAGGTGCTCTCCATGTCCAACATGTGCGTAAGCCAGGTCCTTAGTCAACTTAAAGTTACGCACATTTTTCCGCTAAGTTTTCTTTCATAAATCCCAAAGTTTGCGTGGAAAGTCGCTTACACAGTTTTCCGACCCCGTTTTGTGCGTAAGCTAGCTTGATGAACGAGGCCCCTGAACTTCAGCTGGTTTGGTGGTACGCCTCAGATCAGGGCTATTCATTTCCGGGCCTCGAGGGCTGTTATCCAGCACGTTTTAGTGGTTTCTCTGCTCCAACACACTAGATTCAGAGATGGAATCATCTGTGCAGCAGCTCATCAGGCTCTGCAGAAGCCTGTTCATCACCTGCTGATTGAAATCAGGTGTGTGGAAGCAGGGTTAAGACTACGCTGTGGTTAAGAGGACACTGTGGAGGCGGGAGCTGGATGTGCTGGTGGGGTTGGGTTGGGTCCGCCAGAATGTCTCTCAGTGGTCGGAGGGGTGGCAGGCCCAGTGGGATGTTGGTGGTACTGGGAGGTCTTGTTACAGGCTGCAGGGCCGTGTGGGAGTGCGTGGGTCTCTGTGGGAGGAAGGACTCTGTGGCTCTGATGCGACTGAGGTTGGGCCTATAGTTTCCTTCGGGGGGGGGAACGAACGACTGTTGTTGGGGAAGCACCCGGATGGCTCATGTGGCTGTGGGGAGCTGGAGACGATGGGACGTGTCCTCCTGCGTTGTCTGAACGGAGGGCCCTGTTCGGTTTCTTGGGGACTACTGGAGTTACAGTTTAGCCTGCAGACCTTGTTGGGGGAGGAGAACTGGTGTAGGGTGGGGGCGCTGCTGGGTTTTCTGTGGAAGGCTGGTGTTTATAAGAGGGTGTGATCTACATTGGGTGCGGTTTTGAGGTTGCTGTGGCAGCATTACGCCAAATAGGCGTCTAGCCTGCCTTTTTATTGAAGAAGAGGGGTTAAAAGGTGCTAGATACTGGCCCCCGAGGCTCGGATCTGAATACCCCTGCTTTAGATCATAAGGATGTCAGATTCAGAAGCTCTAACAGATCCTATATCAGAGTGAACCTCTGATTTTGTGTCTGGTTCTGGTTCCAATTGCAGACACATTTCTGTGTTTAAATCTAGTTGTGGGAACAAAGTTTAACAAAACGCGTCCTGAATGAATCAGACCAGATGTTTAGTCTCTTAGTTTCTGATAAAATGTGATTTAGCTTGTTTAGCTCTTCTCCTTACAACTGCTACCTGTGTGGGTGTTACCTGTGTTGTAGTGCTTGGTGCAGTATCTGAGGTCCGATTCGTCTTTGAGGATGAACTGAGGAAGGGTCAGGCCCTCGGCCACCTGAACCGGTCCATTTTCCTGCCATTCAAAGATCAGGTCGTTCATGGTGTAACCGACTGAAAACACAACGTTGATCTGATCAACTAGAAGTTTCACGGAGACATTCTGAAGGAGACCTACATTGCTGCTGCGGCAAACATTAACTCAGGGATTCTGTGAGCTGAGTCACATGTTTGATGTTTAACCTGTAGGAGAAGAACAAAGGTCTACAGAAGCTAGAAGGGGGTTTAGAAAAACAGGTTAAATTTTTGCTAACTACTAAGCTCCACCTACCAGGGAAACTATGCAGTGGTGGCGCCAGGGGGGCGCTAGGGGGCGCTATAGCTACCCCTGGATTAGTCATTGCACCCCAAATAAATATTAGATTTTTTTTTTACAATTTAATTTTAATGTAATGTGTGGATGTGATAGTAGTTAACATACAAAACAAAAATAATCAGTTAATTATCATATAGATAGTAAAAACATGTCCCCCCCCCAAAAAAAAAAAAAATTACGTCCATGAAATGAAAACAAACAGGTAAATGGTAAATGTCCTGTATTTGATATAGCGCCTTCTAGAGGCCTGGAACCCCCCAAGGCGCTTTATAACACAATCAGTCATTCACCCATTCACACACACATTCACACACTGGTGGGGATGAGCTATGATGTAGCCACAGCTGCCCTGGGGCGCACTGACAGGGACGAGGCTGCCGAGCACTGGCGCCACCGGTCCCTCCGACCACCACCAGCAGGCAACGTGGGTTAAGTGTCTTGCCCAAGGACACAACGACAGCGACAGACTGAGCGGGGCTCGAACCTGCAACCTTCTGGTTACGGGGCGAGCACTTAACTCCTGTGCCACCGTCGTAACCAGTGCAGGTATGCCTATAGTAGGGATGGCCTCTGCTCCTAACTCCAGTAATTTGTTTTCTAGCCACTGGAGCGTGGCTAATTCCAGCATAGAGAGCTACAGTAATCCAGGCCAGAAGTATTAAATGCATGGATGACTTCATGGTGAGTCTGTGATAATGGTTTCATCTTCACACGCGACGCAGGTGGAAGATTCATGATCTGACAACAGCATCTTCAGATTTCACACTCGTGATCATCCCGTGATAGCTGAACAACTTTAGGTAAAGAATTATAAAATGAACAGAAAAACCAGTTTTTGCTCCATAATTCTGGGAGCTGGTTTTGGGTTTTTGGGGCTTCCGGTGTTCTGAACCACAGAAGGGGAGGGAGTCGTGTCGCTAAGGGAGTATTTTCCCTTTGTTGTGTTTTTGTGATGCTGTTTGACATCAGAGATAAAAATAATCCCTCCCACGTCGGTAACCACTAAACAGGTCAAAGGGCGTAAAAGCCTCGCGGCTGGGGTCGGACGAGGACTAAATCTGCATGAATCTTTAATCACGACTGAGTTTCTGAACACGGTTTGTTTTACTGAGACAAGATAAGAGAAAACAGCCTAAAATAAATCATCAGTGTGAACAAAGGATAAATGGAGTCATGGTGCTCCTTTACTGATCTGGTGAGGTTTCCGGTCTGCTGACACGGAGCAGCCTCAGCAGCGTGCACACACTGATTCCCTGCAGGAATATGAACAGATTGAGTCAGTGAGGTATGGAATAAATGCACATTCAGCACAAACCAGACATGCTCATTCCGCTGTGATGAATAATAATCTGCAGCGGGGGCTGAAGCACCAAGACAGGAAGTCATTATTCACTAAACTGTGATGCTGCTGAGTTCATCGACATGAGAATCAGCATTTAGACCAACTCGGTGTTTTCACTTCCAGCTGCTAACGAGGAGCAGGGTCAAAGGTCGTACTCACAGCTCTCCAGCTGCATGATGCAAGTCTGAACATCCATAGGGAAGTTCTTCAGATCCATGGGACACGACAGCGTCAGAGTCAGTCTGACACAAACAAAAACACAAACTTGGTTATTCCATCGTCAGCTCCTGATGAAATAAAACATTCTTCTAATTTGTTTCTACTTTCACTGATTTAATGAAGCAGAAATAATAAAACAAAACTTTTACAAACTTTTTCTGTTTTTCTGATTTTTGTCCCAAAAAAATAAAGAATTTGAAAGTCTTAAAATTGTAACTTAAAAAAACAAAAACATGTTTCTTTTTTTTTAACTAAGAAAATTCTGATTGTGTTCATGAAGCAGCTAATCTCCCTAATCCCAGATCTTAATCCCAGACTTCTCCCATTACAGTCTGATTGACATCACTTCTCCCAACAGGAAAGGGGACCTCACCTAATGGAATACAAAACATTCCCGTTCTTAAATATCCGCAGCAGCTTGTTGTCCGTGGTGACTTCATGAAAGTGGGCTCCCTTCTCGTTGGCAAAGAACAGATCCGGTTTCCAGATAGAGTCCAACATGGACGGGTCCAGGTCCAGGGAGTCGTCCGGGTACTCGGCGTAGGCCAGTCTGGGGTCGTTCCACTGCTGACGGAGGAAGATGTTCACACGGTAATCCTGCAGTGGAAAAACATCAGAACCTCCCTCAGATTTAATCTGATTCACCACCAGGATCTGGTGAGTCAGTGAAAATGTGGAACCTAAACATGTTCTCCTCTTGGAACCGGGAACAACTTAAAACTACTCAGGCACGCGTTTTAAGATGTTTTATTTTTTTAATATCTAAACAAGTTAAAGTTACAAACATTTACAGACAAAACATGATGTTTTCATGTTAATTAAAGGGATACGATGCAACTTTTCATACTTTAAAATCATTTTGTTGAGCCAGTATGTGCTAAAATGACCCATTTCAGGGTCAGTGACATGGCACTCAGGCCCCCACCACGCCCGTGGTCAGATTACCACACTTGCAACTTCAGAGTATCCGGTCCGGTCCCTATTAGTGGAGTGAGCTGTGGAGTGGATTGGAGCTGATACGAGTTTCCTGCATGTCTTAGATCATGAACACAACTGATTTGTTTGATATGGTGATGAATCACTCCTCTAGAAACTACAGAAGGCTGAGGAGACACTGATTACGTTTACATGCAGCCAATATCTGGGTTATGATCGGGTTAAGGTCGGGATTCGGGTTTCTGAGTCAGAATAACCCGTTTACAAGCATAAATAGAAAGAGTTACCTCTAACTTGCATTACCCGATGTAAATGCGGACGTTGGGGTAGCGTCAGGACGTGTGGACTACGTCCAGACGCAATATGCGTCGTTTCCGGTTCTTCTCGTTCCGGTATCCGTGAAAACAGCAACATGTTTCCCAGTTCGGAAGAGATAGTGACCGCGTTTGTTTGCGCTTTAGTTTCCTCGTCACTCAAAGTGTGGTGCTGTGCCGCGACTGGCCATGTTGCTCCCAACTTGTTGTTTACTTCCGGAGTTCTGGAGCATACAAGACGTCTCGCTACTCAAAAGACCAAGATTCCTTGAGAACAGAGCATGCGCAGAACACACGCTTTGATGGGGATATCCCGGTATGCGTTTACACGGCCAAACATTCGGGTTAGAAAAGGGTTACCCCAGGTGTAGTAACCGGGTTTTTAAAAACCCGGTTATGAGCCTATCCGGGGTTTTGGTGGTGTTTACATGGACCTGGGAACCGGGTTATTGTGAATATTCGGGTTTTAAAAGGGTTACTGGCTGCATGTAAACGCACTCATTACAGCAGTGGGATTAAGAAGTTACAAAGACAAACGCACAGCGAGGAGATTAGTTTAAGTCCTGGTATTACAGACACTAGGGGGTGCTAAAAGCAAGCTAAACTGCTTTAAGGCACATAATTTATGTCAGAATGCTTCTGTTAGTTCAGCTCTGTGGACATGCGTGCGCACACACACACACACACACACACACACACACACACACACACACACACACACACACACACACACACACACTTGATCTGTAGGTCGCCTGATTCACACTCCAGAGCAGCAGGGGGTGATATTGAGCCAAGGTAAATTATTATTAAATATGAAATAGTTAATGTTTGAGGATTTTTCTACGTGATTTAATAAAACGACTTTTTCCTTGTTTATATTTAAACTCAGTCCTCTCATGTGTCTTTGTCTTAGGGGCAGCAGTAGCTCAACAGGGTGAGCGGGTTGTCCAGTAATCGGAAGGTTGCAGGTTCAATCCCGGCTCCGGACAGAGAATTCTGCCGTTGTGTCCTTGGGCAAGACAGTTAGGCCACCTTGCCTGCTGGTGGTGGTCGGAGCCTCGCCTCTGTCAGTGCTCCCCAGGGCAGTGTGTGAATGTGTGTGTGAATGGATGAATGACACACTGTAGAGTAAAGCGCTTTGGAGTCCTGACTCTGAGGGGCGCTATACAAGTGCGGGTCATTCATCTTGTGGCTCTGCCCCCACCGGACCATGGTAACAAAACTAAAAGGACAAACAAGATCCACGAAGAAGAATTTATTCAAAATCTGCCCCAACTCTAGTATTTTTTAAATCAAAACGTTCATGCATTCATTAGCCTATGATTGTTTCTTCTTCTGCACCTTCTGCTCACCCTTAAACTTTGCCTTTTATCTGAATCTTAAATCTGAATTTAATTGCTTTTAATTAAATTAAATTTAATCATGTTGCCTCTGTGTGTGAAATCTGCCATACAAATAAAGCTGCCTTGCCTCCATTTAATCTCTAATAGTTTCTAATCCAACATGACATCACTTGTTCACTTGCCAAAAATAAAAAGGCAGATTATTCTTTGTGAAAGTAAAAATGAAACCCTTTAACAGAGGTAATCCAGGGGTTTCCTTTAATTCAATGTTTTAATTCTGGCTCTGTTTGCAACCAAACAAGAGTCTCCTCACAGGACTATTGGCTCCACACAAGGTTCCCAGAATGCACTGGGAACTCACGGAGCGTCTCTGCTCGTTTCGCTCACTAACTGGAAGTGACATCATCGCTCTTCCACCTCGCTGCCCTTCTAACTGATCTGGAGTCAGAGAGAACGGATGAGTTGATGACTCAACCTCTGATATTCGTTACTCTAAACAATTTTTATTATAATCAGACCAAAGTTTCACTCCCAGTGAAGACGGAGCTTTAATTTGAAAGTTTAAACCCTCAGAATTAGTTTGAAGCCACTTCCTGTTTGTCCCCACAGGTTCTGCTGAGACCAGCAGTTTACCACCGGTTTGGTATCACCTGCTGCACCACACAGTTACAGCAGAACAAACGCCAATATTACAGCTCTGCAGGAGTTGTGTTGCACATTAATCACTGATGCAGATTGACCTCTGACCCTCAGGGCCCAAAACGTCCCTGCAGATGTGATGTGTGCCAGCAGGTATAGATGCGGACTTTGGTGAAGTGCAGATCTAGGTTGCAAAAGGGGTGTGGTCAACTTCCACACGTGAGAATCCGGACACCCACCACCTGGGATTGTGCGACTGAAGGGCGCACGTGTGGAAGTGTGAATATTGGGATTTGGCCTAGGTCCTTATGAGTAGACGCCACGCTTTAATCTCTTGAGGAGTCTACCTAGCCCAGTAGCAGTGGTTCTGGTTCTAATCACTGTAAATATCAATAGTTTCTGCAAATAACTCAGACTGGAACACATCACTTGGAGCTTCTTGTGCGGGTAAGTACTGCAGAACCAACAGAATCACGTTCTGATTAGAGAATAGTGACAACCCCTGTCCCAGCTCAGATCCAGACAGCCAATAGACTATTGCCAGTCCTTTCCTTGGTTTCACTGTGCTTTTAAGAACCTTTAAACTCATTTGTTTGGTTCTGCAAATGTGGCGCTCCCAGATGTTTGCAGCTGTGGCTGATTAACCTCTGAGGTCTGACGGAGAAACAAGCTGAGCTCCAGAGAACAAGCAGCTGAAAGAGAAGGAAGCTGAGACCAAAATTAAACTAACAATAAAACTACCAGACACAGAGTTGAACTAGAACAGTACCCTATCAGAACCAGAACCAGAACCAGAACCAGGGTGGATTAACGGAGATGAAGTCATGTACAGATGAGGAGAGTTTAACAGCAGCAAATCTGTTTGTGGTGGATGTAAAGCAGGATGGTGATCTGGATTTAAGCCCTTTGTGTGTGTGTGTTTGTGTGTGTGCGCATGCGTGCGTGTGTGTGTGTGTGTTGAATATTCAACAGTGAACTCAGAAGCCCCTCCCCCTCTATGTTCTCATCCTCTCGGTGATGTAATGGTAACACGGACTCTGTTCTGATTGCTGAGTTAAATGACTTCTGTCTCTGAGATTATTCAGGTTTTATCTCAAAGCTTTCACACAAACCTAACTTTTTCCTTTTCATACAGTCGGGGTTTTCTTCTGAACAAAATCCAGTTTTCCACCATGAACCTGTGAACCTGCTCGAGTTTCAAACCCATCCTGGTGAATGGTGTTAAAGCAGAGCTCACCTCAAACATCTCTATGAGAAAAAGACTCTTGTCCTCTACCCAAGGAGGCGGGGCTTGTTTTAGCGCTGGGCAACAAAACAATGTATATATGTGTTGTGTAGACATAATTAGCATTGTAGCTGTGCAGCTAATAATGGTGAGCACTGGTTCTGACGAAGTTGAGAAAAACTATCGATCTGTTTGAGCTCCTGAACCAGAACCACCCACTCTAGCAGCAACACGTCCCAGAGGCGAGTGAGTGCTAAGCTGCCTGATCAGCTGATCTACTCAGTCTTTACAGTTACCCACCACCTGTTTGTATTCTGGGAGGTTTTCATCGACATCATCAATAACTCATTCAATTAATTTGTTTCTTAGGCAACTCAAAACCATCAGAGGTGCAAATAAATCCTCCGTGCTGACTGACAGCTCTGGTCATGTGACCTGTGACTGACAGCTCTGGTCATGTGACCTGTGACTGACAGCTCTGGTCATGTGACCTGTGACTGACAGCTCTGGTCATGTGACCTGTGACTGACATTGGAGGACTGGGCAGAGAAGACAGATGGTGAGAAGAAAAAATCTAAATCCTGTAGTGGCATGGTTCAGTATCCTCTTCTAACCACATCTCTTCACCATAGATCAGGAGATTTAACTGACCACTGATACCGTGATGTCACTCAGATCAGCATTCATTCATCCATCTGGACATCCATCAATCCATCCTCCCGACAGCAACTCAAACTCTTAAGTTGATGTTCTGACGGCTGATAGGTGGGGTGATATGTAACAGACTAAACAGTAAATCCCCCAAAGGGCTGACCATGCCCGAATAAAACAAGATTATTGGTAAAACAAAAACAAACGGAGAATGAAATTTAGTATCAAAACATCACATTTAAAATACCGAGATAAAGAAAGTAGTTTTGTCTCATTTCAAAAATAGATCAATAAAAATCTAATTGTCACGTTGAGAGTAGGGGGAGGTTAGGACCCAAGATGCAGAACAACCAGATGACACGAGGCAGGAGCGATTTGTAAAAGTAAAATCCTTTTATTAGGATGGGAACAAAAATCCAAAAAGGCAGGAAGCCAAACCTAACATCTAAAACCAAAAAGCTCACTTATGAGCAGAGACCTAGAGACCTGGGGCAAACATCAATGGACCAACAACCACACTTAGGCCCTGTCCACACGTAGCCGGGGATCTGCCAAAACGTAGATATTTGTCTACGTTTTGGCCTGTCATCCACACGAAAACGGAGTTTTTTCACACGAAAACGGATCTTTTTAAAAACTCCGGCCAAAGTGAAGATCTGCGTTTTCTCCGTTTTGGGTGTCTGCGTGTGGACGGACACAACCGGAGTTTTAAGGTCCGCAACGTCACTTTCCGCGACAAAACAATGCTGACATCACGTGTGCGACCTGTGTTTACACTAGCCGACAGCATGGATGCCCTCAGAGCTGCGCTCGCTTTATCAATCGTCCAAGCGCTTTTTGCTTGTTTGTTTTTGCAAGTGGAATTACTGCTCCTTGCGGAAGACCACAGACGAAGGACGAGGTTAAGAACGGGGGAAGTACTGCCGCCTACAGGTCTGGCATGTCCTTAACAACGTATTTATCCGGGTACGTGTGGACAGAGGTTTTTTTTAAACGAGGTGGTTTGGATGCACGTTTTTGGAGGGGCGGATATTCGTTTTTAAAAAGACCCGGCTACGTGTGGACTAGGCCTGAGACGCAGACAGGGTTATATACACAGGGGCTGGGTGATTAGGGAATTGTGCACAGGTGAGACCAATAAACAGAGGAGGAGCACAACGGAGCAGGGGAGGAAACCAGACCTAAAAATGGGGAAGGGAGCAAAATGAACTAGAGGGAGAAAACAGACTAGATGAAACACTTAACAGCAGACTAATGATAAAAGGTGTCTAAGGGAAACCTAGAGAGCCTGGAGGGGGTTGGGGACACACGGGGACGCTGAAACCTGGGGGGAACACCTAAAGGGAAAAAACCTGGAGAGGCCTGGGGAACACATGGAGACACATGAGGGAGACGCAGGACGCAGACCATGACACAAATATTAAATCATCAGATAATTATATATCTCACAAAAAGTCAAGAGCTAGACGGCTGAGAAATTAAAAGTATCTGAAAACTGGAAAAAAACATAAAAATAACAACAAACAACTTTAAACCCAATGACTATAAATTCTCTAATCAAACAGGAATGATCAAACTAAAACTAAGATACCTGCCACGACTAAAACACATTGACATGTAAAATAAAACAGGAGGGAAGTATTGATCTGAGCAGGAAACTAGAAGTGAACACAGAGAAGGAAGCAACATGGTAGTCCCAAACCACCCCAACAGCCAACAGGAAGAAATTCCAACCAGTAAAAATTTCATGGAATAAATCGGAATGTTACATCCAAAATATCAGCAGATGAAATGAAGCATGTCAATGATTCATGAGATTTTAGTCTCCTCTGTACAGTCCACTCCAGAGTCTGGAAGGACCAGGGTTAACCCTCTGGAGGCAGGCGTTGCAGATGTGCAACAGTTAAACCCTGCCTACCTGGTTACTCCACACACGTTCTTCCTGAGCATTTTTTAACTCAGAAGTTCCCCTGAAGGACTTAGTTGTTCGTCCTTTTATCAAAACTTATTTTGAGCCGGAGAGGGTTAAAGAGGTTAACGGGGTCAACTGCTAGTGTAGAAACTAAGAAGTATTTAAATAATGATGATTGATTGAATGTCCCGATTCTGTGTGAATGTCATCGTTGCTCTGTGTAGCTCGTGTGCAGCCTGACCGACTTCCTGTCACTTTAACGTATTTGCTGTCAGAGTCGCTAAACGTCTTCTCTGCACATCTGCTATTCCTGTCTGCTCATCTGTCTCCTCTGATTTCTATCTCCGTCTGCCTCCCTCCATCATTATCTGCATTCATCTGGCCTCACGTTCAGCTTTCACTCAGTTCATCCTAAAATAAGAGCATGGAGTGTCTGAAGATGTTTGCTTCTGAAACAGAACAAACTAGGCAGAATCAGAAAACAAGCAGATGTTTTAGACATTCTCAACAGCTCAGGTGACCTTTGATCTCCGGCAAATCTCGAAGACCACAGGAACATTGACAAGGATGGGGTTCATCCCAGAATCTTGCTGCTGAAGACTAGCTGATAAGTTATTCGTGAGTTTCAAAAATGTCTCAAAACACTCTTGATAGTTTCTCATGTGAGTTCCAGGGCCTGGAAGTTAAAACATGTTCCAAATATTTTAAGTTCAATTTTATTCTCAAAAACTTCACAGGAGTCTGAAACTCACGAGTTTATAGAATACACGTCAGACAAATGTCAGAGAAAAGAGAAGCAAGAACAATGTGAGTTAACAGCAGCGATGGGAATAACGCCGTTTAAAATAACCGCATTCGTTTTTAGGTAACGGAATAATCTAATTAATTACTTTTCCCACTGTTGTAACGCCGTTACCGTTCCTGGGGACGGAAGGTCGTGCGTTACTATGTGCTTGTCGAACGTTGAGCAACAGCGTGAGGCTTTCCGACCGCCACACTTCAGCTGCAGCCAGGGAGAGAGAGGTGTCGGTAACTCACTTACAAACACGATGATGATGGCCGGGTGGGCGGAGACCCTCACCGTCTCAGTCGCTGCTGCTGTAGACCCAACAGAGCAGTGATGGGAATAACGCCGTTTAAAATAACCGCGTTAATAAAAAAAATATTTATTTCAGTAACGAGCAAACTAATTAATTACCGTCTACTTTTATCAAAACGTTGTTTCTGTTACTGATAAGGAAATGTGTGCGTTAAGCAGCGCGGTGTGTTGAAGCTGTCATCAGCTGATCAGGAGCTAAAGAGGTAGATGTTTTCATCCAAGAGCATCTCGGCCGTGAAGAACGAGGAAGACGTGATGAATAGTCTACGGCTGCAGGTGTGGATCTGCAGCCGTGCCCTTCTTAGCGTGACAGCGGGACGTCCCGAAGGTCCGCTCACCTGTTCACCGCTCAGACGTCCTGATCTTCTACCTTCCTAGATCATCCAGCTGTAACCTGTTTCTGATCATGTCTTTAGTCCCGCTGTAACACTGATGCATCAGTCTCAGACGTCATGGAGCTCAGGTGTTATCAGAACTACCTTTGTGTGTTTACCACCCAGCTTCAGCTCTTCTGTGGTTGGGTCTGACCCACGTTAGTAAATGTGAGTCCTCCATCAGATTTGTGCCTCTTCTAGTGTCATTTAAAGGATTTTATTTATTTATTTAGCCATTACTAGATTAGCAGCAACAGAAATGCTGCTAATAATTATGTGAAGCTGGAAAAATTAAAATACTTTGCAAATTTACGTTTATTTCTGTAATTTAACTAGACTGAGAGACCATTTAAAGGCTCAGGAACCTTTACAGGTGTTTCTATTTGCAATTTTATATTTTAGCTGATGTTAAATATCACACAGTGACCTTTAGTAGTTCCTCCTGTTAAGTGCTTATTTATTTAAATTATTCAGGTTTATAAAAACATTTGGACATACATTTTATCATGTCCCAGTCATTAGTCATTTATATTTCACTATTGCAGTCATTTATAGTAAATTAAGTTAGTTTAATTAAGAGGGGAAGCCATTTTTCTTGCTTTCTTTAATGAAAAAAGTAACTAAGTAGTTATTTTTCTTGGTAATTAGTTACTTTTATAATCTCATAACTCAGTTAGTAACTGAGTTATTTTTTGACAAAGTAATTAGTAACTATAACTAATTACTTTTTGAAAGTAACTTTCCCAACACTGGTTAACAGGTAGTATGAGATAACAGCTATTCAGAGCTAAAAGTTAACGAGATAACGGATAGTCTGAGCTAACAGCTAGTCTGAGCTACCAGCTAGTCTGAGCTAATGGCTGGTCTGAGATAAAAGCTATTCTGAAAATATATCTGTTCTGTCCCAAGTAAAAGATTAAAAAGGATTCATGATAATTTAGTGATAAAAACGTCATATTTCATTTGTGGTAATTGATGTTAAAAAAGAGAGTCATTTAGTTAAAAAAAATATTTTCTATACAGTCAGCATTAGTTTGTATCTTATTTTGAAGGAGAAATCTGTGTTCACAATGCATTGTGGGAAGCAGAAGCTACAGTCAGTTGGGAAAAAACGTTGTACAGAAAGCCTGCTTATCCGTGTTTAAACTTCATCTCCTGTGCCCTGAATCTTTATATACATCATCGAAAGCAATGACTGTAAGTTTATTACATGTTCTGGTTCTTTTATATGTTCATAACAGCTGATTTAGAGATCGTTTTGTGATTGTGCTTGTTCCAGGAATTAGCCTTATCCCAGAAACGGCTTTTGCTTAGAGCATGGTCTATTAACATAGCAATGATGCTAGCGGCCTAATTTGCATATCAGAGGATTGTTCAAACTACTGTTTTCATTACTTAGCAGCTAAGACTAACTTTGAAACATGTTTTATATTAATAGATATTTCTTTTTATGCATTTATTTCACATGTTAAAGAGCTAAATGGTATTTTATTTCTGGTTTATTTTTAGTTTCACTCAGCACTTTCATCGAGCTATTCAAGCCACAATTGTAAAAGATTGTAAGCTGTCAAGAAGACCGTAATAAAGGAGTAAGACGCTCAGTTTCCTGGCTCATGAAAAATGAGTTTGGCTTGCTGTTGACCTGCGTTAACATACACGGTGTATCCAACACGTAGCGATAACAGTACAGTGAAAAGTCACGTCAGCAGTTGGTGGAAGATAAAGTTTATGCCACAGCGATGGATGCCCACGGGGAGAAGGCAGAAGAAATGGCTAACTCAGGAGACAAAGCATCATCAGAAGCTAGCTCTCGATCCAAATACTCTGGCTCCAAGCGCTCATCTTCCAAGTTGTCCTCAAGGTCCAGTGTATTAGAAGCAGCCATCTTTGCAAGAGCTTCTGCTGAAGCTACAAACACCAAAGCCTTGTACAGTAAGAGACAATTGGAAATTAAAAAGCAGCAAGCAAACCTGGAAATGGATTTACAGATATTAGAGATAGAAAAAAAAGCTGCAGCCGCTAAGGTAAAAGCAGAGGTCCTGGAAGCTGCCGCAGCTGTCGAACAAGACAAAGGAGAAAGTTTAAAAAGTTCAGTCCCACCACAAGTTACCAGACAGAGAACTATGGAGTATGTGCAACATCAAAGCCAGCTAAAGTCACACCCGGCTGAAGAAGCAACACCTCAAGTCAAACTGACAGCAAAGGCACCATCATTCACTCCAAGGGAGCCAACCTGCTCTCCACCTGTACTCTCAAAAATGTACACAGAGGAGGAAACTTTTGGCCCACCAAGAGAGTATGTTGAACCGAAAAGTCACCATGCTCCTCACAATAGTGATACACCTATGGCTGACTTTGCTAAGTTCCTTGCACGCAGAGAGTTAATCACAACAGGGCTCTTTAAGTTTGATGACAACCCCGAAAATTTTAGAGCATGGCAGTCTTCATTCTTAAATGCAACTGGAGGCATTGATCTTACATACAGCCAGCAGTTAGATCTCCTAGTCAAATGGCTCGGTAAAGAGTCCTCAGAGCATGTTAAAAGAATCCGGGCTGTTTATACCAGTAGCCCCAAAGCTGCCTTCCAGTTGTCATGGGATAGGCTGGAGGAGTGTTATGCTACACCTGAAGTAGTAGGGAATGCCCTGTTTAAAAAACTGGACGGTTTTCCTCGCCTTACAAATAGAGACAATGTTAAACTTAGGGAACTAGGAGATTTGCTCCTAGAGCTGCAGGTCGCTAAAGACGAAGCCTACCTCCCAGGCCTCGCTTACCTCGACTCGCCACGCGGGGTTAAGCCCATAGTGGAAAAGCTGCCTCCAAGCTTACAAGATAAATGGCTCCACACTGGTTCAAAATACAAACAGAATTATAATGTGACATTCCCTCCATTCTCATACTTTGTAAAGTTTGTCCAAGAGGAGGCAAAAGCGAGAAACGATCCAAGTTTTGTGTCGTGCAGCAGCCAACCCCTCAACAAAGGTGAGACCACCATTCAAACAAACTAGCTACAAATCACCTCTAACTGTAAATAGAACAGAGGTTGATACAAGTGCCTCTGCTAGTATCAGAGAGGATGATCTAACACGTTATTGTCCAGTCCACAAGAAAACGCATCCTCTAGCCAAATGTAGAGCTTTCCAGATCAAACCACTACAAGAAAGACAAAACATACTCAAAGAACACAAACGATGTTTTCGCTGTTGTTCTCCCATGCACACAATAAAGGACTGCGACCTGAAGGTCAAGTGTGAGGAGTGCCAAAGTGAAAAACATTGCTCTGCCATGCACCCTGCCACGGGTCAAAAACCCCAGCCACAAAATGCACCTGAACCAGAGCCTCAGCTCCATGACAACACTCTACCCAAGGTAACGTCACGATGCACTGAGATCTGTGGTGAAGGCTGTCCTCCGCGTTCTTGCTCCAAGGTATGTCTAGTTCGAGTTTTCCCTAAAGGTCAACCAGAACGGTCTGTTAAGATGTACGCCATTCTTGATGATCAGAGCAATTGCTCGCTGGCACGTCCTGAATTCTTTGAGCTATTTGGAATCAAGGGTAGCCCTCTGACATACCATATGAGAACGTGTGCTGGTTTAACTCAAATGCTCAGCAGGAAAGCAGTGGGGTTCCAGATTGAGCCTATAGGTGAAGGCCCACGTCTAGATCTTCCTCCTCTCATTGAATGTGATGAGATAGTATTTAACAGAGATGAAATACCTACACCTGAAGTCGCTCTTGCCCATGCCCACTTGAAACATCTGGCTCCCCTGATACCTAAGCGCGACCCAGCAGCCCAGATTGCAGTTTTACTGGGCAGAGACATCATACAAGTCCACAAGGCACGACAACAAGTCAACGGACCCCACAACGCTCCCTTTGCTCAGCGCCTAGACCTAGGCTGGGTAATCGTGGGGGAAGTATGCCTCAATGCTCACAGGCCAACGGTCAATGCCTATAAAACTCACGTGCTGTCTAACGGACGACCATCTCTCCTCACTCCTTGTCCTAACAGCATGAAGATCAAAGAAAAACCATGCTATGGCGGGGAGCACAAGAGTAGCTTCTTAAAACACAGTTCAAAACTCAACGCAGCAGAAGAAAAGCTTGGAGAGAAAGTTTTTGAGCACACAGAGTATGACAACCAGCATGCCCTGTCCTTTGAGGATGAGACCTTCCTTAAGATAATGGAAAAGGAAGTCCACCAGGATGGAAACAATAACTGGATTGCTCCTTTACCATTCAAGTCCCCTCGCTTGCCACTTCCAAATAACAGAGACCAAGCACTGTCTAGACTTAACTCGCTGAGACGCAACTTAACCAAAAACCCTCAAATGAAAGAGCAGTTCTCAGAATTTATGGACAAGCTGTTTAAAAACAACCACGCAGAGATTGCGCCACCCATTGATGAGAACACTGAGTGCTGGTACCTGCCTATTTTCGGCGTATATCATCCCCAGAAGCCCGGTCAGATACGGGTGGTCTTTGACTCTAGTGCCGAGCAGTCCGGCGTGTCACTCAATTCAGTGTTATTAACAGGCCCTGATCTCAATAACACCCTCCTTGGTGTCCTGATTCGGTTTAGGAAGGAGCTCATTGCAACCACCGCTGACATCCAGCAGATGTTTTACGGGTTCCTGGTTAGACCAGACCACAGAGATTATTTGAGGTTCCTGTGGCACAAGGACAATGACTTGTCAAAAGAGGTGCAGGAGTACCGCATGCGGGTACATGTTTTTGGTAATAGCCCGTCACCAGCAGTAGCCATCTATTGTCTTCGAAGAGCCATCCAAGAAGGTGAGGCAAAGTTTGGAGCAGACACAAGACACTTTGTCGGGAGACACTTCTATGTCGATGACGGGCTGATTTCAGTTCCCACAGAGTCTGTAGCCATCGACCTGCTCAAGCGCACATGTGCATCCTTAGCTGAGTCTAACCTCAAGCTCCACAAAATCGCCTCGAATAGTGTCACAGTCATGCAAGCATTCAAGCCAGAAGATTTGGCCTCCGGCATCAAAGACTTGAGTCTCGGCGACGATGCTTTACCGGCCCAAAGAAGTTTAGGAATGTGCTGGGACATTAACACTGACTCATTTACCTTCAAGGTAGCTGTCGATGATAAACCCTATACCCGCCGCGGGGTTCTCTCAGTGATTAATAGCATCTTCGACCCCTTAGGACTAGCATCGCCAGTGACAATCAAAGGCAGACTCTTGTTACGCAAAATGTCAAAAGGAGTCCAAGATTGGGATGCTTCTCTCCCCCAAGAGGAGATGGATGCATGGGAAACATGGAAAATGTCCCTCCAAGATCTGAGCAGCCTCAGAGTGCCACGCTGCTATGTACCGGCCTCCCTTTCCAAGTCCACTTACACTGAACTATGTGTCTTTAGTGACGCCTCAAGCTGGGCTGTTGCCGCAGTTGCATATTTGAGAACAGTCAACGCGGATGGACAATGTGAAGTTGGATTTGTGCTTGGGAAAGCAAAACTTTCACCTCAACCAGAACCCACAATACCTCGTCTTGAGCTTTGTGGAGCAGTTCTAGCGGTGGAGATGGCAGAGCTCATTCTGGATGAACTTGATCATAAACCAAACACTGTCAAATTCTACTGTGACAGCAAGGTGGTTCTTGGGTACATTTGCAACAATTCAAAGCGCTTTTACGTCTACGTACATAATCGAGTTCATCGTATACGCCAGTCCACATCCCCTGAACAGTGGCATTATGTTACATCAGAGCAAAACCCAGCTGATCTAGCAACCAGGTCGGTACCAGCATCGCAGCTCATGGACACTATGTGGTTTAAGGGACCAGACTTCCTTTACAAACTACAGGAACCAGAGACACATGAATCGTTTGAGCTGGTTGAACCTGAAGTGGACTTTGAAATCCGACAAGTTGGTACTTTCATTACTCAGACTAAGAAGAGCGGACTCACACCAGAACGCTTCCAACGCTTTTCAAGCTGGACATCACTGGTACGTGCCATTGCCTTCTTAGTTCACCAAGCTCGTTCTCACTCATCAAGCAACTCGTCAAATCATTCATGTAGGGGCTGGCATAGATGCAGAGAACCACGCACTCCAGAGGAGTTGGATGCCGCCAGTAACCTCATTCTCCAGTCTGTTCAAAAGGACGCCTTTCCTGATGAGTATGCTGCTCTCCAAACCAGTCAAACCATCCACAGCTCTAGCCCCATTGTGGCCCTTGACCCCTTCTTGGATGAAAGCCTCATCAAGGTTGGAGGTCGCCTCAAACATGCTTCATTGGACCCAGCGTTAAAGAATCCAAAAATTCTGCCAACCAAGCACCATGTGTCAAGGTTGATTGTCCTACACTATCACGCTAAGGTTGTGCATCAAGGAAGGCAGTTCACAGAGAGTGCAGTTAGACAAGCTGGACTGTGGATTGTAGGCTGCAAAAGACTGGTCTCATCCATCATCCACCACTGCATAACATGCAAGAAACTCAGGGGGAAACTAGAGACTCAAAAAATGGCAGATCTCCCGCCTGAAAGACTTGAAACATGCCCTCCATTTTCATACGTCGGGTTGGATGTGTTTGGCCCATGGTCAGTGGTCACTCGACGCACACGAGGTGGCGCAGCACAAAGTAAGAGGTGGGCAATACTTTTTACATGCATGACTACAAGAGGTGTACACATCGAAGTCATTGAATCTATGGACACTTGCAGCTGCATAAATGCAATACGCAGATTCTTTGCAATAAGAGGCCCAGCCAAGCAAATGCGGTCAGACAGGGGCACCAACTTCATCGCAGCAAGCGTGGAGCTTGGCATGGCACAACCAAACAACAACCCTCCCGACATTGTCAACCATCTTCACGCCAACGGTTGCACATGGGAGTTCAACCCCTCACATGCGTCCCACATGGGAGGCATCTGGGAAAGGATGATTGGGGTAACTCGCCGAATATTGGATTCAATGCTCTTGCAGAACAAGCACACCCGTCTGACACATGAGGTGCTTTGTACCCTAATGGCTGAGGTATCGTCCATAATCAACGCAAGGCCCTTGGTCCCTATCTCAACTGACCCTTCCTCACCATTCATACTCTGTCCTGCGATGATACTGACCCAAAAGCAGGGCGTTCCTTCTCCACCAGGAGACTTTTGTGGAAAAGACTTGCTCAAAAACCAATGGAAACAAGTGCAAGCACTCGCCAATGGTTTCTGGAGTCGCTGGAGAAACGAATATCTCAACACCCTCCAATCAAGGCGCAAGTGGCATGGAACACACCGCAACCTTCAGTCAGGCGACATTGTGTTGTTGAAACACAATCAAGCACCCAGAAACGAATGGACAATGGCTATTGTCACTGCGACCTTTCCAAGCCGTGATGGGAAGGTCAGAAAGGTCGAAGTGAGGACATCTTCCCAGGGAGTCTCAAAGACTTACCTGCGTCCCATTTCAGATGTTGTTGTGCTCTTAGAAAAGGAAATGACTGAGAAAAAGTAGTGGTGGCATCAGTAATGCCAGGCGGGGAGTGTTCTGTCCCAAGTAAAAGATTAAAAAGGATTCATGATAATTTAGTGATAAAAACGTCATATTTCATTTGTGGTAATTGATGTTAAAAAAGAGAGTCATTTAGTTAAAAAAAATATTTTCTATACAGTCAGCATTAGTTTGTATCTTATTTTGAAGGAGAAATCTGTGTTCACAATGCATTGTGGGAAGCAGAAGCTACAGTCAGTTGGGAAAAAACGTTGTACAGAAAGCCTGCTTATCCGTGTTTAAACTTCATCTCCTGTGCCCTGAATCTTTATATACATCATCGAAAGCAATGACTGTAAGTTTATTACATGTTCTGGTTCTTTTATATGTTCATAACAGCTGATTTAGAGATCGTTTTGTGATTGTGCTTGTTCCAGGAATTAGCCTTATCCCAGAAACGGCTTTTGCTTAGAGCATGGTCTATTAACATAGCAATGATGCTAGCGGCCTAATTTGCATATCAGAGGATTGTTCAAACTACTGTTTTCATTACTTAGCAGCTAAGACTAACTTTGAAACATGTTTTATATTAATAGATATTTCTTTTTATGCATTTATTTCACATGTTAAAGAGCTAAATGGTATTTTATTTCTGGTTTATTTTTAGTTTCACTCAGCACTTTCATCGAGCTATTCAAGCCACAATTGTAAAAGATTGTAAGCTGTCAAGAAGACCGTAATAAAGGAGTAAGACGCTCAGTTTCCTGGCTCATGAAAAATGAGTTTGGCTTGCTGTTGACCTGCGTTAACATACACGGTGTATCCAACACGTAGCGATAACAGTACAATATCTAACACCTAGCTTAGCTTAATTGCTTTTACTGTTGTGTTGTGCATTTGGTATGTGAAAGGGGGATGTCAGATCTGATCTCATAACAAATCGACCCACTAGTAAAAATGACCTTGAACCAATAGTATGAGATAACAGCTAGTCCGAGCTAACGGCTAGTTTAAGCTAATGCCACTCTAAGCTAATAGTCAGCCCGGATGAAAGTCTCTAAAGCTTTAACCTCCTTAACTTTAACACCATCATTTTCACACGGGGTTGTGTCAGCAGAAATTTTTGTATGCTTCTTCCCTTTTGGCCTAAAATTTTTGTAAGCCTCTTTAGAAATTAAACACAAAAAACTTTTTATCATGTGTTAAATACAGACAAATAAAAACTAAGGGTTTGCAGATTGTTGGCTGACCTTCTATATTTGTGTCTTTTCAGAAAACAAATAGATTTATTTAACTTTCAACGATAAATAATTTAGAATCATAAAGACTCGAAAAAAATCTTCAGACACATTTGGATGTTTAGTGGAAGGAGACTGGTACATTTTCCGGTTTCTGAAGGCAGAAAAGGAACAGCACCGCTGTCAGATTCGACTGAACCAAGCCGGCAGCCTGTTTGTGACCCGAGCACCGCTCTGAGAGAACTCTCCAGATTTATTTATGTAAATCTGTTAAAAGCAGACGGGCCTGAAACAAACTGCAGAGTGCAAAAAGCCTTTCAGGCTTTAATGTAAAATGCACAGAACATTTCCATGTTTAACGTCTCTCCAGACAAACTCAGCTCAGATTAAATCTCTAAAACCCTCCAACCAGACCTAATATTAAGAATAAAAGCCTTGTTTTTTTTTTCTACAGGGATCCAGATGAGTGGGAATCTTACCATGGTGGTCTCAGCGATGGAGCCAAAGCTGTTGATGAAAATGTTACAGGAAACGTTCACCGGAGGACCTGCAGCATGAAACAGAGCCATCAGGTAGACAGACAGACAACAGAAAAAGCATCTGGTTATAAATGTTTATTTCTGATTAAAAACAAAACGGTTCCTGCTGAGAAGATCCTTATGCCCAGTAATGTTTTGGAAATTTTGATTAAAGAATTCCAATTTCTGCAGAACCTGTTGGGGTTTAAAACAAGATAACATCCCATTCATAATAATGATATGCAGAAAGGTCAAACTTTAAATAAATAAATAGAATAAAGAACTTCAAGTCCATCGTTTCAACCTTCCAGGATTCAAAACAAAACATTTCTGCAAAACAAAGATGATCAGACATGAAGTCAGCAGGAGAAATGCTAACAGACCCGTGATAAAACACTAAATAAATCAAGGTGACTGAAAACACAAAGCGAAACATCTGGAGTGCTCATCAGGTGGAAAAAAAAACCAGCCGAGCGAATAAAAAACTACAACAAAAATAAAAAAGTTTAACAAAAAGGAAAGAAGCAGAATCCAAAAAAAGACATGCTTTAGTTTAAACACCTGGTGTCGGGGTTTGGGTCACAGTCAGTATTAAAGGTGTTCAGCTGCTTTGGGCTGTCAGTAAAATCTGGTGTTTATTCAAGTTCAATTCAAGTTTATTTATAAAGCGCCAAATCATGACCAGAGTCGTCTCAAGGCACTTCACATAATAAACATTCCAATTCAGGTCAGTTCATTAAGCCAATCAGAAATAATGTTTCCTATATAAGGATTCCAGCAGGTTGCATCGAGTCACTGACTAGTGTCAGTGACTTTACAGCAATCCTGTCCACAGAGTGACCTGTTAGGGGTCACAGGGGACATCAAAACCTTTCTGTCAGAACTACCTTTGAAGTTGGGTCTGATTCGGGCGTCGTATCCGGATGTGCGTCCCATCAGTTTGTCCAGAAAGTCAGAAGGAGACATCGGAGCGTGCCGGGTCCTCGTAGGTCCATCCAGCTCCTTGGACCGACTCATGCTGTTGGGAACACAAACCACAATAAATGGGAAAGAAAATCTGGAGAGTTCTGGTTTCATGGTGAAGGTGGAATGACCCACTGAGCAACCAGAACATGGGTGTCCTCTCTCTTTCTACAACTAGTCTTGTATTTGTCTCCATGGTAACTGCTTTGTTACATCCTCATGTGTGGACAGATCTGGACAAAAATGTCAGGCAGATTCATGAATGTGGTTCTGAAGGTTCTGCTACATGTAAATGTTCTAAATCAAAAGACAGCTGAGTCAGCTGAAAGATGGGTCAAAAGTTCTGGTCTGACTGGATCTCGTCACTCCCAGGACGGGGAAACAGACCCAAACCAGGAAGTGACTGAACCCTAAGCAATGTAAAATAGGAGTAAAGAGTGTGTGTGTGTGTGTGTGTGTGTGTGTGTGTGTGTGTGTGTGTGTGTGTGTGTGTGTGTGTGTGTGCGTGTGCGTGTGCGCGTGCGCGAGTGCGCGTGCGTGTGCGTGTGTGTGTGTGTGTGTGTGTGTGTGTGTGTGTGTTGTCTTATCCGGTTCTGGATCAGTGTATCAGAACCATCTCTGTCAGGTTCTGCTTCATTAACGGGTCGTCTGTGATATCATCAGGCTAATGATGCAAAGCCCATCATCAGTGACATTTAAACACAATCAGGTCCCTGCAACAGGGTGTGTGTGTGTGTGTGTGTGTGTGTGTGTGTGTGTGTGTGTGTGTGTGTGTGTGTGTGTGTGTGTGTGTGTGTGTGTGTGTGTGTGTGCGTGCGTGAGCAAGCATGCATGAGTGTGTTTTCATGGAGTGTTTGAGCAGAATTCTCTAAATGCCAACACAAAGCATGATGACCCTTAAATTACACTTGGGCCTGAGTGAGTGATTGTGTGTGCATGTGCGTGTGTGTGTGTGTGTGTGTGCGCGCGCGTGTGTTTTTACTGAAGCAACCAGCGAACCCTAACCCAGGACCACACACTTCCTGATTCCCATCCTAGTGCCATTTCAGGTTCGGTGACCTATCCATTGACCTTTGAAGGCAGCTCCTGCTCACCCAGCAGGTTTGACCTCAGATGACCCCGATGTCGGATTTCCTCGTCTGAACAGGGCGGCTGACTAGAGACACGGGAGCAGATTACTCAGAAGGGAGACGAGGAGCGACAGCTGGAGGAGTTCCACCAGACAAAGTCAAACAGAGTTCAGAGCGACGAGTTTCATCTCCAACAACACGTCACTTTCAGCTCCTCCCACAGGACCTCAGGGAGTCAGTGGACAAGGGGCGGGGCAAAACCTGGACAGGTGACATTTAGCAATCTGATTCTGATTTAACAAATCTATTACTGATCAAACATTTCTTATGTGGATTTTTATTCATTCGGTCAGACGAAGTGACGTAAGAATTATGTTAAAAGGACCAAACAGGAAAACAACTTTAAAATGTGTTCCACCTGCAGGTAACAAGATCTGAACCTGGCAGGAGCTCCTGATCTTGTTAACTTCTGCATTTTTATCTTAGTCCTTTATAATCTTTCTATCTGATTCTAACCAAAGTCACATCCTGCATCATCACGCGTGTTCTCAGTCTGCTGAGTCGGTCCTGAGACAAGGACACGCCTGAGTCAGACATGTGGACAAGGACGTCTCTAAAGCGCCTGCAGGAGCATCTGAACTCCAGCTGCAGTCCAGAAGCTCCTCTAGCTCCAGATGAGAGGATGATCTATAGATGTTTCATCCCTGAAGATGATTTCCTTCATGGGTCCGACAGATCATGCCTCGTGTGGATCTGAATCCTTTGACAGATGCTCCAGGACATAAAATTAGATTTAATAGAAACCAAATAAAGGAAAACATCATGTTTGTGTTTGAGGAGCTATAGCTGATCTCGTCTGGCTCTGATGGAGACCCCAGACTTTCTTCTTCTAGTTGACATGAGTCATCACATCATGTCAGCAGATTTATAATCTGAAGCGTCACAATCTGAACCTCCCGCTCTGCAGAGTCCCAGAGGGGTTCTTCTGGGTTCAGATCCATGTCTGCAGAGGCCGGCTGAAGTCACCGTCATCTTCAAAACAAACGTTTGTGACAAGAAGCTAAAGTTTTCCTGAATGAGCCTTCAGGAAGCTGATGTGGAATCCGGACTCAGGTGATGAGAAGAAGAAGAAACGATCGCTCAAGACAAAAATCACGAGGCGCTTCACCAAAAAATAAAATAAAAATGTAAATTAAAAATGAAAAAGATGAAGTCTTTGGGCCCTAGGCTTTGCTGCTAGACTGTCCCCCAGTTAAGGGACGGTCAGCTTGAAAATATCATAAAATTTGAAAAATAAATAATTGTGATGAAAACGTAAGGAATGGGAAAGAGAAAATGAAAAAGAGAGGTAGTTAGTGGATCCCGGGAAAGTCAGAACTGGTAGGAAGAGCTGAATAAGGAGAGGGTCATGAAGAAGGTCACACCAAAGCCAGCTTAAACAAGTGAGTCTTCAGCTGCTTTTTAAAGGAGACCACTGAGTCCACTGATCTCAGGCTCAGGGGGAGAGAGGTCCAGAGTCTGGGGGCCACAGCAGCAGATGATCCGTCACCTTTGGTCTTTAGCCTGGTGCTGCACAACCAGTAGTACCTCAGGGACCTGTGTAGGGACTGAGAAGATCACCTGTATGATGGTGCTTGTCCATGTAAAGCCTAAAGACCTTGAAATGGATCTTGAAGTTAATCAGCAGCAAGTGAAGCTGGAGGAGAAGTGGGGTGATGTGGACAGATGGTCAGAAGCTGAGGGCAGGCATTCTGAACCACCAGTAGAGGGTTCAGGGAGGTTCTACGAGTTGCAGAAGATCACAGAGACCATGTCCAGACCGGCAGGACCCATGTCTGACGAGTCTCTCTCTCACTCACACACTCGGGTCCAGTTCCAGGAGCAGGAGTTTGGGAGAACAGAGTGATCCCGTTTAATGTTCATGGAGGCAGCAGCTGATCCCAAACACACACGATCTCAGCTGGCCTAGATCAGAGTGAGCACACACGCTAACGGCCACAAAAAACACTGAAACACACGGGTCATGTGACCAGCAGGAGTCCTGCTGCACACACACACACACACACACGCACACACACGCACGCACGCACACACACACACACACACACACACACACGCACACACACACGCAAGCACGCACACACACACACACACACACACGCACACACACGCAAGCACGCACACACACACACACACACACACGCACACACACGCAAGCACGCACACACACACACACACACACACACACACGCAAGCACGCACACACGCACACACACACACACACACACACACACACACACACACACACGCACACACACGCAAGCACGCACACACACACACACACACACACACACACGCACACACACGCAAGCACGCACACACACACACACACACACACACACACACACACACACACACACACACACGCACACACACGCAAGCACACACACACACACACACACACACACACGCAAGCACGCACACACGCACACACACACACACACACACACACGCACACACACACACGCACGCACACACACACACACGCACACACACACACGCAAGCACGCACACACACACACACACACACTATTACAGCAGCAGAACACCTTTCTAAAATTTCTGTGGGCGGAGCCTAAGTCTTGTAGACAGAACAGAAGCGAGGTTTCCCGTAGGCTGATCATGACCGAATGTGTTCAGTTCTAATGCAGTTTGTTAAAATGAGATCCAGGAGCTGCTCGTCTGGAACTTTCCGGCCATCCGACGCTTTAAAGATGAAGAAGACATCAAGGTCTCCTCTCCAGCTCACGGGGACACTTATTCACACTCAGAGATCAGCACAGTGGACCCCCCCCCAGCCGAAGTGAGGGACTTAGGGGTGTTTACCACACACAACATTCACTTCACACACAATGGAGTATGTGCAAAAAAGCATGTTGGACGTGTGAAAACAGCCTCGCTCTAACCATGAAGCGGAGCGTGTTGGCAGGGTCTTGGGTCGCTTTGTGCAGATCTAGCTCTGATGGAGGCGTCCCAACATTGTGCCGACCTCTTCTGCTGGAGGAAACATCTGGTGTCACTTTAAACTCTATTGACAGCGAAGATAACAAACCCTTCTGGGAAGTTTTGGCCGCAACAGTCTCATCCAGCAGCAGCATCCTCCAGTTACTTTCATTCTGAGCATCCTCCGCTCTGACCTTTTCCTTTAAAACACCAGAACAAAGGAAGCAGCATAAAGCGGCGCTCTGAATCATTTCCTCTCATCAATAATGGAAGAGCGTCTCCTCGTATAGAGTCTGATGGTCGTGAGACTCAACAAGGGCAGATGAATATATTTAATTCACATTTCTGTCCCGTTTCCTGCTGCTGATGTTGATATTAAAACCATCTTTGTTGTAACATCTATAAAACATGAACCAGCTCTGAAAGCAGACAGGAGAAACAGATGGATCAGAGATCAGCTGATGGTTTTAGCTCACCGACTGTCATCTACGAGTTGTGAAAGTGAGGCGTCTGAATACTTACTATTATTAGCATTAGCCACTAGCGCGTCTCTGCAGCTGATGATTAAGGGCGCCCCCAAGGGGTGGCCAGGGGTGGCAATGGCCACCCCTAGTAAATGAGAGACAGTTGAGACAGTTCTCTACACCTTCATCTCCTCACGCTTAGACTACTGTAACTCTCTTTTCACGTGTCTGAGCAGAACCTCCCTGAACCGTCTACAGGTGGTTCAGAACGCCTGTGCTCGGCTTCTGACCAAGTCCTCCAAACACACCCACATCACCCCGCTTCTCCTCCAGCTTCACTGGCTGCCAGTCAACTTCAGGGTTCATCTCAAGATCCTGGTTCTGGTCTATAGGGCCTTACATGGACAAGCACCATCTTACATTGGTGATCTTCTTAGTCCCTACACCCCCAGCAGGTCCCTGAGGTCCAGTGATCAAAGCCTACTGGTTGTGCAGCACCAGGCTAAAGGTCAAAGGTG